TTGATTTTTGCCTTTCTTGATCCTTTTGAATNGTGCCAACATTGCCCTCAACCATTACTGTCTTGCAATATTTCTTAATATGCCTAGGTATACCACACCTATAACATTCAAAAACTTTTTTGAATCCGCCTTGACAACCACCTCCTTGATTTTTGCCTTTCTTGATCCTTTTGAATTTTGCCCTTCCAATTTGTGTTTTGCTCCCCCGAATTTTTCTTCTTCCAACTGTTGCCTTGCTGCTAATTGTTCTTCCAATTGTTGCCTTGCTGCTGATTGTTCTTCCAATTGTTGTTTTGCTGCTGGCTGTTCTTCCAATTATTTCTTGTAAATAATGCCTCATCTTTTCCAAAAATTGATGCACTAGNGCTGCTAATTGTTCTTCCAATTGTTGCCTTGCTGCTGATTGTTCTTCCAATTGTTGCCTTGTTGTTGATTGTTCTTCCAATTGTTGTTTTGTTGCTGGCTGTTCTTCCAATTATTTCCTGTAAATAATGCCTCATCTTTTCCAGAAATTGATGCACTAGCCATTTTCTTGGCTAAAGCCTCTTGATTAACAAGCAAATTTTCCAACTCAATAATACTACGTTGTGTTGCCCAACCTTGAATGGATGTCAAGAAAGGCATGTACTCCTTTCTTATCCCTCGAATAAGATATCTGCGTAATCTAGCTTCACTAACAAACTTCTCTTTATCAATCACTGAAATTTTAGAACATATGCTCTTTATTTTCTGAAAATATCAACAGACATGTTACCTTGAGTAGTGTTGGCTAACTCATTCTCAAGCATTTGAAGTCTAGTCGTGTGCCTCTTTGTAAAGAGTTGTTCCAGCAACTTCCAAATCTCATTTGGCTTCTCCTTGGCTCAAATATGTTCAATCAACTCTTTAAAAATGGAACCACGCAAGGCAAACAAAGCCTTTCCAAATTTTTTCTTCCATTTCTTTCGAGCTTTAGCATTCTCCGATGTATCTATAGGCATTTCAGAGTCACCTCCGTTGACTATATCACACAAATCTTGCCCTTGAAGATAAGCCTCCATACAGAGCTTCCAGTATTGGTAATTGGAGTTATTCAGCTTCTCCAAACCAAACTGGTTTAAAGAACCACCGTTGGCGTCCATCAAGGCAATGAACTAATCAACAAAAATATACTTCTTCTGTCCTACCTTCATGGTACTTGCACCGAGCCCTTAACACAACTCTAATACCAACTTGAGAGAATTACACTCTCCAATAACGCAAGTAGAACCCTAAACTACACGCCCAAGACTGTGAAGAATTAAATCTTAGAATAAGAAGAACAATTAGAACCAACACTCATATAGGAGAAAAACGCGTGAACTTTTATTTCATAGTAATTCTCCTTTCACTCTCTACCAAGATACACACACAATGACTCAAAATACTTCTAGAATTTATAGGACACTCCTACCATATACTTAGACAAGTAGATTCATGATTGACCCTTAGACTCCATACGTGAATATTACTAATGACTCTTGAACTTAACAAAAGATTCTTGAACTAAATTCATGTACCATACCATGTACATGAACCATTTGTGAAATTACTAAATTAAACTAATAAAGTTAGCACAACTTTCAACAAATTCAAAGCGAAGATGAAATTCCTGATTTATCATTTTTATGTGACGAAAGATGGTTATTATATTATGGATCCAATGAAGTTAGATGTTTCTAGACAAGCTTTTTGGTGGCTGGATGAGAATCACAGTGGAGGTAAAATTTCCCTTTGGTGTGGCTGTTAATTAAATCAGTGCTTATGACATTCTATAAAGTATTGTGAATTGTCAAATTCCATATTTTGTTGTGTTTAAGGTAATAAAGAGGGACTTTTGGTTGATTTTGTGGGTCCCTTATCATGCAAAAATTTTTGGGTTAAATGAAGGAATGAATATTGAGGGCATTAATGAAGGATTATTTATCTNCTTAACAAAAGATTCTTGAACTAAATTCATGTACCATACCATGTACATGAACCATGTGTGAAATTACTAAATTAAACTAATAAAGTTAGCACAACTTTCAACAAATTCAAAGCGAAGATGAAATTCCTGATGTATCATTTTTATGTGACGAAAGATGGTTATTATATTATGGATCCAATGAAGTTAGATGTTTGTNTTAGCACAACTTTCAACAAATTCAAAGCGAAGATGAAATTCCTGATGTATCATTTTTATGTGACGAAAGATGGTTATTATATTATGGATCCAATGAAGTTAGATGTTTGTAGACAAGCTTTTTGGTGGCTGGATGAGAATCACAGTGGAGGTAAAATTTCCCTTTGGTGTGGCTGTTAATTAAATCAGTGCTTATGACATTCTATAAAGTATTGTGAATTGTCAAATTCCATATTCTGTTGTGTTTAAGGTAATAAAGAGGGACTTTTGGTTGATTTTGTGGGTCCCTTATCATGCAAAATTTTGGGTTAAATGAAGGAATGAATATTGAGGGCATTAATGAAGGATTATTTATCTTGATCATGGATTTCCAAGGAAAAAAACCTCAGTGGAGTCAATCTTGCAATAGAATTTGCAATTCACATGGCTCCCACTTCAACAAGAATCCCACTGGACAGTGGGTTTTCTAGCAAAGATTAAGGGAATCCGTCAACCCTTGGATCTTGTAATTTTTAGGATATCTTCCGGTAAGCAAAATGGATCTTCTTTTTATTTCAACTTTATTATAATTTTGCCTAATAAAAGGGTATCAAGAAGAAGGGGTAGTTTGGAAATTTTGTTTTTCATATTATGACCACATCATGCAATTTTAACGATTATACTAACAGACCCTGATAGAAGGATCTATGTGTTACATTTCACAAATTTTAGGGGATTTGAGTATAATATTTCACAATATGAGGGAGTTTACATGATTAAGTGACAAATTTTAGGGATTCTGCATGTAATTTTTCCGAATTGAATTGATTTGAATTTAGAGATAAATTTAGTTTAATTAATTAAATTTACAATGTAGATTTGCAACGTTTGATTTAATTAATAAAATCAAATAGATTTGGTATGAATTTCATGACAAAACCAACTTAATAAAATTGATTAGATATGATTTGAATTTTGAGATAAAGTTTAGTCAAAACTTAGTTTTGGGATAAAATGCGCATTATTAACAGAAAAATTGAACATTTTCTTGGGGATTAGTTTTTTTTTTTTTTTAATTTTGTTAAAATATTTTATTGTCTTTTATGTTTCTATATTTAATTATTAATTTATTATATAAGTTTTAGAGTATTTAATTTATCATTTATTTAGGTGTCTCTTTGACTTCTTTAGACATTTGTGCATCTAATTATATTATAGAATTATTAATTTTTATTTTTAAATAGATTAATTAGATCGTCTATAATATTATATTGAACTGTGAAATCCAACCTGATAACTACATGTGTATAATAATTTAAAATATATAAGACTTTACTTCTTCATGTGGATATAAATAATTGTATGTAATTGTACTACCAATAAATGAGTTTAAAAGAATTTAAAAGCCCTTATAAAAAAGTTCATAATAAGTTGAAAGTTAAATAGATGTAAAAAAAACATAAATTAAATGAAACTATATAAGTGGGTATAATAGACTTTATCATAATAATTAAAGATAAAATAAAAAATCTTTGTACTGCTAATAAATTAGTTTAAAAAAATTTAGAAATCCTTATAAAAAAGTTCAAAATAAATTGAAAGTCAAATAGATGTAAAAAAAACATAAATTAGATAAAACTATATAGGTGGGTATAATAGACTTTATCATAATAATTTAGAATAAAATAGAAAATCAAAAAAATTTCGTGGAAGTTGACATTTATAAGTAGAATATAGATATAGATATGGCATGGCATTATATGATTGGATGAGGCAAAATTAGCCAAAGGTCAAAACATAGAGAATCTTTTGTTTGGAGGGCATTATAGTCAGTGCAATTTGCAATACATGAGGGGATTTATCTGTTATTTGGACAAATCTCATGGGAGGTGAATCTAATTAACCCCTTTTTTTTTTATCTTGTTTGAGCCACGCAGAAGCAAAAAAGGATGGAGCCATCCATTACCCGGAATTGCTGATAATAACTCTAATGGGACACTGATATTAATATTTAAAAAAAAAAAACAATTAATGAGATTGATAATCACCTTTTCGTATTGATAAGGGTCTACTCGAGCATGTTGAGTCTTTGTTGAAGTCATGGTAAATGATATGGTATGAGGGAATTGAAGAGAATTAAATCTGAATATGTTGTACCCACTCGGATGGAAGTCCAAGCCCAGTAGGGTTCAATATTTAGTTAGTGTATTAATACACATCCAACAGCTATATATTTTGGAACTGGTGATGGAAAAATGAGTCAGTCCATTATTGCCATATTTGATTTCAAGATTAGCATGCTGCTACCTTTTTCCATTTCTCTTACATTCTGAATTGACATTTTTTAGTTAAACCCAGTGATTTAAATAAGCAAAGCAACTTAATTGGATAGACGACACCCTAGATGTTGATAGTGACAGCAATGGTAATTGTCGGCTTGATTAACACAAACATTAGTGAGAATCCAATGCCCAAAAACCTAAAGATTTTCCCCATAAGGCTCATCTCCATGGAGGGCGGGTAAGGGCCTAAGATAAAGTTAAGAGCAATAAATTAACAACTAAGAGGCCATGAGGAGGACATAATCAAGAGAGCAAACTAACAGTAATTTTTATGTACTTGTAACTAATANAAGAGCAATAAATTAACAACTAAGAGGCCATGAGGAGGACATAATCAAGAGAGCAACCTACCAGTAATTTTTATGTACTTGTAACTAATAGAGATCAAAATACAATGTCAATTGCTCATCTAAAACCCTAAAGTGGATCTCAAATCCATTTGAAACAAAAATGTGAGTATGTGTACAGTGTAAGTTGAAGAAATAGTATCTACAATGGGTGCTGGGAATGCAAGTAGGATTTAAGGATTTACTTCATCAAGTGGAGCGTGAAGCAGCTCTAGTCAGCCTGTCAAGGATGCTATTTGCCTTCCTTCTGGCCTTCAAAGTCCCAGACTGTGCAAGCATAGAGATAGTTCCATTGGCATTTTCCTCTCCCTTGATTTCCCTCAATTTGGTTCGGTCATTAGAACATATCTTGTAAAGGATTGCAATACAATTCTCCTTGATGCGTTCATTAGTGTTTTCCCTTAGAATACTAAGCAAGGAAGGTACTGCATCAAGCTCTCCGATCTGCTCAACGGCCCTTTCATGCCTGGAGAGCAAGGCAAGAACAGCCAACAACTCATCAATGAGTATACCGCCCATGATCTTCGTAAAAATGACCCTGACTGCCCCTTCATACACAGCCTTTTCATTATTCTCAAAGATGAGGCATAGGCTGAAAATTGCAGAAGCAGCATCCTTCATGGCTAATAGATGCCCTTCTTCCAAAAGGTCAATCAAAGGTTTGAGAGCTCCCGACTTTCCAATAACGCGCTTGTTTGAATCAAGGTCTGATAAAGTGAGAAGAGCTGCAGCAGCATTGCTTCTAGTGTCCATGTTACCGAATTTCAATGATTCAATAAGTAGAGGGATGGCCACTGGATTATCTGCAACCAGTTTCTTATTGCTGTCATGTATTGAGACATTCAAGACTGTGGTGATCAAATCCTCTTGTAAATCAGGATGGCAATCAACCCTCCCAGGTGACAGCGGCTTCAGCAATCGGAAAAGGGCATTGGCAGTTTGTCCAAAAAGAGCCCGGATATGTGGCGTATCTTTGGTCAGCAACCTTAGCTCTTTTGCAGCCGCTTGCTGATCAGAAAGAGAAGAGGACAATTTCTGGAGCAGTGAATTCAAATGCCCTCGCTCTGCATCTGTGATTAATTCCTCATCAGGATCCTCGGCAGGGTTAGGCAGCTCAATGTCATTCTTCTTACACCATTGTGAAATCATTTCCCGTACTAAGCAATTAGGGGTAAGCACCGTGTAGGACAGAACTTGCTGGGTTTGGGGGCATATTCTTTTACCATATTTCAACCAGTTTTCGATGAATAGCCGATCGTACGTCTACAAAGGCCATCAACATTTTTCAGCAGTTACCATCAACCATAAAACAAGTTATTTTATCTCAAAAAAAAAAAAAAAAGAGAACACAGAAAAAGAAAGGGATGTGATGAGACGATAAATGGGACAATTAAGCCCCTGTTTATGATTGAGGATAATTACTAAATCAAATTTTTGGTTTCATTTCGTTGTCACCAAAACATCCTAAAAATTATGCTACCAAATTTCAAAATCATCCAAAGCAAACAAGAAATGCGAAGTGGCTAAGTTTTTATTAATTCAGGCCACCACTTAAACTACATAATGAAAAACCTCAAACTAACATACCAATACCAACCCATAATCTTAACCCTCGCAATTCTAAGGTTATGATTTCTGAACTAGGGTTCTTTCCAATACTCAATTCCGTCAGTTACTTTAATATTCTCAATCGCACAGCAAAATTCAAAGAATACCTGTTTATACACGGTGATTTATCTAAAATACAAGAATTGAGCCACCAGAAAAAAAAATGCCACTCAAATCTTTAAGAGATCCTAATCAAGAATTTCCACTTGAAAAATCATCTATCATTCAGGAATTTCAACCAGATGGTGAAAGCGTTTCCAACCAGTAGCACATTGCACAGAGAGAGAGAGAGAGAGAGAGAGAGAAAGCGAGAGACCCAGAACAGAAGAGTGACTAATAGTTTCCACTAAAATTTTTTGTCATTAAGCAAATTCAACCACATGGAAAAAGCATTTCCAACCAATTACACATTCGACACTCACACACAAACACACACTGAGACGAGCAGTTAAGAGACCGAAGAACAGAAGAGTGACTAGTACCTGACCGGTGGCCAAGATAACAGGGTCTTTCATGAGAGCTTTGGAAAGAGGGCACTTAAATTCATCAGGAAAATTAGAACTGTCCAGTTTCAAAGAAAGAGAAAGAGAGCGCTTCCAAATTAATTTCTTGCGAGAATACAAGGTCATCATGGCCTGATCAGTGGTCTCTTCGCTGTAATCATCGTCATCAACTATAGCATTCACCAGTCTCTGTAGTTCTCTCTTCAATTCCGTCGTTGCCTTTGCTACGCCCGTTGTTTTTTCTGCTGTTTTCGCCATGAAAGACGAGACCAACAGAACCAGAATTGAACAAAAAGAGGAGCGATTGAATAAGGACAAAGAAGAAGAAAGTTTCTTGACTTCTTTTTATATTTTTCTTGTGTCTTGGGTTTTCTTTTCCTCTCAAGAAATAATGAAAATGGGAAATACGCCGTCATATATATATATATATATATATATATATATATATATTTGTTTTGGGAAATTACACTCACACTGCTGTGTTTACTAAAATTGCAGCATGGTCCTTATAGTTCTCGAAACTACACAACCCTGCTATGAAAAATTCCAAGATGCCAATTAACGGTGTCATTAAATTTTTAATTTTAGCCTCTATTTAATTCTCCCAAATTCCCCTCACTTTATTTTTAATGTCTCTCTATTGTGGGCCCCGTCTCTCTAGCAACGATCAACCTAGTGACAGCATAGAAGTTATGACATCAATTGGATTTCAACTTGGTTGATTTAATTAAAGAGAATATTTATCGAGGTGTTGTCTATTCATAGCACGGTGATGGTGGTGTTGAGATAGTGAATCAAAAGGTAAAATAGTTAGTTTTGTGGGGGCAAGTATTGTGGTGAAGTATCCCAAAAAAGTTATGGTTGTGAGCTAGGTAATGGTGGTGAGCTTGGTGGTTGCGAGGTGCTAACTTGGAAGATAGAGGATTTGGGTTTGGTGGTGGATGTGGCTTAGGTGGTGGTGTTGGCAAATTGGTGCTAGTTGAGGTGGAAGGTTTGGTGGTAAGGGTGGAGGTGGGATTGCTGGTGTATCTGACTTTGATAGTGGAGCTGAAGGAAAGCTTAGGTTGCACAAGAGAGGCCTTGGAAAAAGTGAATGTTCATGGTTGGTGATGGGACGTTTTCACAAATAGTAATGTTATGCTGACTAAATTTTGAGATTAAATTTAGAACACAAATAACTTGACAGTATATTATTTGAAGTCTTTATTGGGGCTCAAATGACATGACACAAAATAAAGAAACCCAAGTCAGATGTCATATCATTTGAGTTTCAAATTTAGTCAGTGTAGCATTACTCTTCCACGAATTGATAAAGAGACGACATGTGGTCTCGACGTGATAAACGTGGAGCCTCCATGAATCAACACATGTCCTCAGTGTGAGAGCCTTCGGAGCCCTCTACGGTTGTGATAGTCTTCTTGTATGTGACCGCCATCGCGCAGTGTTTTAGACAATGAAATGAATGTATTGACATCCACCCGTAGACAATTATATTTGTCACAGATTTTCATTCAACAATCGATTGTTAGCATATGGGCAAAATATATTGACAAAAAATATCTCGTCCAAATCATCATCTAACCTACTTGAAAGCTTAGTGAGTCATCACTTGAGTGGATAGCAGTATTTTTCATTGTAACTAAAAACTTAATTAAAACTCACTATTACAATGCATAACTACCACAATAATAATAACAAAAAATAAAATTAAAAACATGCTACAATTACCACATAGTACCACAATTCTAATAATATTGTTCAAAACTAACATTGGTCTACAAGCTGCAAATACCACAATAATAATAATTCATATCAAGTTGTACAAGCTTGAAACACACATAATAATAAGTCAACTGTGGACGTCTATGCCATACATAACTAAGCAAAGGAAATGGCACTTAATCTAGTGTGTCAAGCCACTCCTTCCTACACAGTGCAGAAATCTTAAAAACACATTTAACGCCACTCAGAGGCCTTGAACTTTGCACATGCACAAAAATATTGTGGGGATCCAACATCCTCCTTACCCCCTAATACATTCATGCAATTTTCAATGATGTAAGCATCATTTATAATGTCATTGTGACCACTACGCTTGTATTTCTCCATCCTAGCCATTGAGAATGCAGTTCATGCATCAATAGCATTATCCATACTAGAACTCTAACTCTCCTTCTTTCGTCCTAAACTGCTTGCATTCTTTTTAGGTGATGGGTGAAATGAGCCTTCAAGATTATTGGCAAGAGTAGCAGATGATCTTTTTTAACTATATATGAACTCCTCTTCTAACTCTCTCTCCTCATCAGAGTTTGGTGGAACTTGGGTAGAAGCACAGACTAAAATACCCGTGGCTATAGATTTTTCAAAGATAAGTCCTAGTAAGTTGAAGTAGTCGCACCCTTTCTTGCGAAAAGCTTTCGCCTGTGGATTCACTCTGATTTCCGAGCTTCCAATCCCTTCTCTCTTAGAGCCTTCAATGGAGGATTTGCCAGCTACTTCTTCTGCTGAGCTTCCAGGCTCTCCTCCTGCTCCTGCTGTTGGGACTTCTACTACTGAGCTACAAAGTCCCCCAACTACTCTTTCTTCAAAAACTTAGGGCTTTTAAAATGAGGAAAATTTGTAACTCTGAGCTCATTCTGACTCATAATTTTAAAATGCTACTTTGAAATGTAACTATTTTCTGTTTTGAAAAGCACAATTGATTCACAGCTTCTCTTCTCTGTATTATATTTATAACACTGATCTATTAACTTTTGCCTTTGAGTTGTGTTGTTTTATTTTATATCCTTTTCTTGCCCCCCTTGCTTTGAGGAGTACTGAGTTCTTCTTAAAGCAAATTTGTTGAAACTGCGAGCCTAAACGAGCTACTGGCTCACTGAGCTCCTTTCAAAGGAAGGGAACTGAGGTCTAACCTTTGGAGATTTCCATACTTGTGTTTGTTGGATTTGGCGAAGAAAGTGAGTAACTTGATGCTAAGGTCCATCACAAGTGCATCCATGAGATCTTTGATGGGGGACGAGCTCGACAAACACAAGTCCCATTTTAGCCAGTATAGCAAGGAGGGCAATAAATTAGCTGGCCTTATGGAGATGTTTCTGAAGGTCCATGCAGCCATACGGACTGGATTTGAGCCCATAGATATCTGAGAAGTAGGGGGCAGCTTTAAAAGGTTCATGCAGTCATACGAGCTGAGCTCAGCCTATAGACATCTGAGAAGTTGGGAGCTCAGAAAGTCTACCAGGATTGCCAAGTTCTATTATGAACTCGGAGTTAAGCTCCCAAGTTATACTGCAACTTATTGTACTGGACTTCCGTTGGATTGCCGAGGGCTACTAATGCTTGAGATGGATGAGGAGTATCAAGGAAATGTTGAAACTACTAGGTCCGAGCTCTTCTGGATGTTGACCTTGTATGAACATCCAATCGGGGTTTTTTTTTTTGTTTCCACGCTTCCCCAACTGCTTTTCAAAAAGTATAACCACCTTCTTAAATTGGAAAACCCAAAGGTCTGCCGACTTTGGTTCTTGTGTACTCTTTGATTACATTAAAGTTTGATGTCCCTACGGTTTTGCTATATCTTTGTGGATCCTCCTTATTCTCGGAGTCTCTTTTTGATACTTGAAGGTTTATCATTCTTCTACTTCTTCTTCTTCTTTATCTTCTCTAAATCTCTCGATGGCTGTCCCAATCTCGCCCCTGTTCAAGGAACGAAGCTCCTTTAGAATTGAGAGGGAGTGGCAGACCCGCTACTTAGTTCGTTTGTCAATAGCATCCTCAAATTTAGATGGGATAAAGAAGAAGTTCTTTCTTAACGTGAAACTGACTCTTCGGGCCTCATCTTCTAATGAGCCCTGCAATTATCTTCCTCGAGGGGAGACTTGTTTCTTTGAAGGTGTTTTAGACATGGGGTTGTGTCTACCCATTCACCCCGCCGTTGGTTACATCTTGGCTCACTGCGGTTTGTGTCATGCTCGTCTCTCTCTCAAGGGATGGGCCACCATGATCAGCTTCTTCCTGTTCTGGCGCTTGCGGGGGTGATGACAAGTTTCCCACTGTAAGAGAATTCTTTTAATTTTTCAACCTTGAAGAGGATGAGGTCCCATATTTTATCTTTTTTCGATAGAGGCACTTCAAGTTGCGTTGTCTAGTGCTTGACCTTTCTTCTCCTCATGAGGGGTAGACTCACCGCTTCTTTTATGTTTCAGGGGACTCTTGGAGATCCGTTGAGCGGCATTATAGAGAGTGCAGGGTTCCTAGGTCCTGGAAGAGCTATTCTTACCCAGGTAAATATCTTGACTGCCTTTACTTGTTCAGGTCTCCTGATGTCGTTTCCTAATCGAAAGATTTGCTTTGGTTGGTAGGCCCCCCTGAATTGGACTTATTGAAGGAGATGCAAATCGAACAGATGATCGATGTTGAGCCTGTGCCCTATTTTGAGCTGATGACACCAGACAACCTGTTTTTGTTTAGCGCTGCAGGAACTGCTATAGATTTTGTTTCTTACCCAGATTTTGCTAATTCTTATCCTTCCGAATCTGATGAGGATGAGGATGTTGGTACATCCTTCAGGAAACGTTAGAGGAGTGGCCCTGACAGTGACTCTTCATCTTCATCTGGATCTTCACTGGCAACAATCTGTTCTCTTCATCCAGGCAGAAACTTATAAATCTTCTAACAGAGACATAGAAGGAGAGAGATGAACTAAAAGAAGAAAACGTCCGCCTAAAGGAGGAAGTTGCTGAGCTCCGGAGACGCCTCAAGGGCGATTAAGAACTGGGAATGTTTCTTGTAATCTTTTTGCTTCCTTTATTATATTGCTATTGAATTTTTGAGCTTTTGCTTTATCTAATGGTTAAATTCTCCTCTGTCGATTGCTGAGCTTGTGATTTTGCTTTGAATTTTGTTGTATGCTTCTACCCTCGAGCTACGGGCTCGTTTTTGTGAGTTGAAAAGTTTGTCGTGAGCTATTGAACTCACTTTTATGAACTGGAAAGTTTATCATGAGCTATTGAGCTCGTTTTATGAGCTGAATAGTTAATCGTGAGCTATTGAGCTCTCTTTATAAATTAAAGAGTTCATCGTGAGTTATTGAGCTCGCTTTATAAATTGAAGAGTTCATCGCGAGCTATGGAGCTCTCTTTATGAACTGAAGAGTTTATCGTGAGTTATTGAGCTCGCTTTATGAATTGAAGAGTTCATCGCGAGCTATTGAGCTCTTTTTATATACAAAAAAGTTCATCGTGAGCTATTGAACTCTATCTATGAACTGAAGAGTTCATCGTGAGCTATTAAGCTCTT